AGCAGGCTAGAGTTGTGTGTTTCCCTTCCCCAATATGGTAAGGCTCTGAAAAAAACCTCAATAGTTCAGGCACTGGTACACAGTTTCTTCTGAGGTTAGGTCTTAAGAAGAAAAGAAAACTTAAAGATCAGAATGCTCTGGTATATTTCAAAATGGCTCCTTTTTCTTCCCCCCTGCTGGAAGCACAAGACCATTATTCTTCAGTCCTCAGTGGGAGAACTTGGTAGAGCCCCAGGAGGTACAACTCACAAAAGTGTGAGCCCCACTATGATGGGGTCCCCATGGAGTTTCAACTCCGTGACTTGTCCACAATGAACCTCCAGCTATTTATCAATTACAGTTCAGGTTTTCCCAACCCAATACTGATTCCTAGGGAAGCTTCTGCTCTGTTAAGTTGTGGTTCTCTGTATTTTCCTATCTGTCTCTCTCCAATTTGGGGGCCAGCAATTAGCCCTATGATCTCACTTCTCTGATAGATCAAAGTTTTCTCAGTTTCTTACTTGTCAGGACACAGTGATGATTTCCAAGCTCTTTACATGCCAGACTGGAAACTACAAGACTATGTTTACCTCTTAATAATTAATTGAGCTATATATAATTTTTGCATTTATAAGTTGTGCATATTTACATGTAAGTTACACTGAAATTAAAAAGAGTTTTTAAAAGTCCACGTACTGTGCCCTTGCTCCATAGGAAGAAAAATTTCAAACTCTTAATCAAAAACAATTTACCACTGTCACTTTAACCATAATTCTAAAAATACTTTGCTACACAGTCATCAACAGATTTTAAAAAGGCAAATTAGAAAAAGAATGAGAAGCATATTCCTTCCAGGCATTTACAGTTGAAATCACTGCCAGGCCTCTTTACATTGGCAGGTTGGAAAAACTCCCTGGAGCAAAAGTTAAAGAGCTCTGACGCCAGAGAAAAAGAACTAGGCCATTTCTCTACTATACAGATTAAAAAAGTAATGTATTCCCATTTCCCCCCTCCATTCTGATGCAAATCTTTTTAGTCAGAAGTCTTAAAGTAGCTCTCAGTGTGGGTCCAGGTTAATTTCAAACAGCTGAGGTACTGCTTGAGGGCAGGAACTACTTATTTAAACTCTTTTGTATCACTCACAGATTTAGCAAAATGAAAGGCATGCTAACAAGAAAGTTTATGTAATATTTCATAAAGTAAGCAAATATGGTAAAAATCAAACACTTTGTGAATCTGTGCTTTTTGCAGGGGACACATGGGGATGTGGGTAAAAGAACTTCATATGCTTATTTCCATAATCATTAGGCAACTAAATAGGAATATGTTTGCTAGGTCACTGGACTGAAAAGAATTAGGCTAAAAGGTTAATAACTAAGCAATCCATGCTAATGTCTGTAATCAAGACTGTACTTTAATCAGCTCTGTGAAAGAGGCAACAGGCTGACTATTCCCTAGGAATGGAAATTCCCCCTATGTCATTCAATAATTCACTTTAATATTGACTTAATAATTCTCACTATTGAATTGCTTCCTCATATCAGAGTTCAAGACGGAGTCCTCTTGAAACAGACAAAAATGACAACAGCTCTTATCCTCATTTCATAAAATAGAAAGGGCTGGGGCGCCTGGGTGGCTGAGTCGGTTAAGCGTCCGACTCTCGCTTAGGCCATGATCTCGCGGTTCGTGGGTTCGGGCCCCGCGTCGGGCTCTGTGCTGACTGCCAGCTCAGAGCCTGGAGCCTGTTTCAGTCTGTGACTCCCTCTCTCTCTGACCCTCCCCTGCTCACGCTGTCTCTCTCTCTCTCCTAGAAAAAGTAAAAAAAATAAAAAAACATTTAAAAAATAAAATGAAAGGGTTTCCTGAATTATGTGTGGAAATAAAGCAAAAAACAAACAACAACAACAAAAAAGGGTGCTCTACTAGAGCTACACTTGACTTCCTGATTTCCAAGTAAATCCAAGGAGTATTCTATAGCAGTTGTAGTTTCAACTAAATATCAATAACTTAAGAGGACCACTGAAATGATGAACCAGAGCTAACATTTCTAAGCACTCCCTTCCAAAAGGTAGATTTGGAAAGTACAGTTCCAAGATCCCTTAATCCAAAAGCATCACGTTCCAGTATCTTTGGTTATTTGACTTACAACTGAAAAGAAAATTTTGTTGAAGATCCCTAGTTATGCCAGATGTCAAGGCAGTTCATGTTTTAATGAAAGTACAGAGTCAGCTTGTTAAACAGCTTGTTAAATTTAATGTTAACAGTTAAATATGATTACAACTCCAGTCCTTAGTAAATCTCTTCTTAACAGCATATGAGTAACAACACATGGACATAAGGATAGAGAGCAAAAATGAAAAAGAAGAAAGACTGTGTAAAATCTAATATAAAAGAAAAGAATTTGTCCTTGGATTACAAAAATGCACAAAAACTTATGGACTTTCCTCCCATACTATGGTACTTATCACACCGTACTGTCAAGTGTCTTTTTATAGTTTTTTCTCCTATGAGCTTCTCAAGGTCAGGGATACATTTTTATATTCTCAGCACCTAATAGAGTGCTCAGAGCACAGATGATGTACAACAAATGGCACTGTGCTAATTATCTCCTTTAAACTTCTTAATAATTGTATGAGGTAAGTAACACATCACTACTCAAATTTTATAGAAAAAAACCCAGGAAATATTAGAATTAAAGAATATGCCCAAAGTCACATAACAGTCTAACTCCAGAATATATGCCCTTAATTACTGTACTATACTATCTGGACAAATAAATGCCTGTTTTGTCCAGTTTCTGTCTGTTTTAATAACTAATTTTATCTACTCACTCACTCAGACATCATCTGCATTTGTGCCTTATGCATCAGGATGACTATATGAGCTCAAAAATCACCAGAAAAACATAAGATTTGGGGACTAACCAGGTAATTTTAGAAGCCAAGAGTCATTTCTAAACTTCACATTTTAAAAGTGTCGTTACAGTTAACATTAAATTAGTTATTTCTGAATACGAGTGTACTGAATTTCTTAAATGTAAATGACTATACTATAATTTTAGGAGACAAGCTGGGTAATTTATAATATAGCAAGAGTAGAAACACAAGAACTCTTGGGGGTGCCTGGGTGACTCAGTTGGTTAAGTGTCCATCTTCAGCTCAGGTCATGATCTCGTGGTTTGTGGGTTTGAGCCCCGTGTCAGGCTCTGTGCTGATAACTAGCTCAGAGCCTGGAGCCTGTCTTCGGATTCTGTGTCTCACTCTCTTTCTGTCCCTCTCCTGCTCACGCTGTCTCTCTCTCTCAAGAATAAATAAAACATTAAAACAATAAAAAAAAAAATAAAAAAAGAAAGAAACATAAGAACTCTTTAATAAGAAACTTGGGGGGTGCCTGGGTGGCTCAGTCGGTTAAGCATCTGACTTCAGCTCAGGTTGTGATCTCACGATTCGTAAGTTCGAGCCCTGCGTCGGGCTCTGTGCTGACAGCTAGCTCAGAGCCTGGAGCCTGTTTCAGATTCTGTATCTCTCTCTCTCTGACCCTCCCCTCCTCACACTGTCTCTCTCTCTTTCTCTCTCTCTCAGAAATAAATAAAAAAACATTTAAAAATTTTTTAAAAAAAAGAAAAGAAACTTGGAAAGGGCTATGAGGTTAAACTAGCCTGCCTGTTTTAAAGAGAAGAGAAGGGGGTCACCTAGGTGGCTCAGTTGGTTAAGTGTCCGACTTCAGCTCAGGTCATGATCTTGTGGTTCGTGGGTTCAAGCCCTGCATCAGGCTCTGGGCTGACAGCTCAGAACCTGGAGCCTGCTTTGGATTCTGTCTCTCCCTCTCTCTCCCCCTTTCCTGCTCACACTCTCTCTCTCTCTCCCAAAAATATGTAAATATTTTTTTAAAATAATAATAAATAAATAAAGATAGATCAGGGGCACCTGGATGGTCAGTGGGTTAAGTGTCTGACTTCCGCTCAGGTCACCATCTCACAGTTCAAGAGTTCAACCCTGTATCAGGGTGTCTGTGCTGACAGTTCAGAGCCTAGAGCCTGCTTCGGATTCTGTTGTGTGTGTGTGTGTATCTCTCTCTCTGCCCCTCCCCTGTTCACATGCTGTCTCACTCTCAAAAAATATATAAACATACAAAATTAAAGTAATAAATAAATAAGAGATCAGGAAATGGTTTGCATTAGTTTAATAAACTATTCAATGAAAAAGGGTTTATATTACTAGACTAAATCAGTGTCTCATGTATATGACCCCCAATCAATAAAATTATAAAATTAATGAAATTATTTAATCTTCTATTCTGCTTAAAACAACCATTAATTAATCTTTCGGGATGTCCTACAGTATTGTACAAACAGAAATCTTTCCATTCAGAAAAATGTAGGAATTCAGTAAAATGAACAAGGTAATACTCATTTTTCTTCATATCAGAGCCAATAAAGAATGTAAAGCCAATTTTACACTTATCTATCTCACATTTTTAATTTCCAAACACACACGTATACACATTACATATAAAATGAATTATGGAATTGTGAGATGTTAATGGGAATTCAGTTAGTATTGATTTAGCAATACTGAAAAAGTCTTCAAAACATGAACAAAATGTAATATACCTTTAGAAAATCAATATATTTTTCTCCATTTTAGTAAAGATATTTAAAATGCCAAAAGGGAACTGACATTTATTTGCTTTTTGTCGGGAGTGATTATCTCTAATTTTCAATTGTTTGGAATATAATGGAATCAAGTATATAATAAAAATTGTCTTCGATTTTTTTTTTTAAATGTTTATTTATTTTTGAGAGAGAGGGAGAGAGACAGAGTACGAACAGGAAAGGGAGACACAGAATCCAAGGCAACCTCCAGGCTCTGAGCTGTCAGTACTCACAGACTGTGAGATCATGACCTGAGCCGAAGTTGGATGCCCAACCAACTAAGCCACCCATGTGCCCCTGTCTTTGATTTTTAAAAGTTTGCTTATAGTGATGGAAATAAAAACTTTTTGGTCAGATTTTTACATACCTTAAAAGTAGAAAGCCCATAAAGTCTTGTGGTATGAACAGTCTCCTGAGAAATGTTGGTGATGTTAGTTATAAAGTCCTCCAGGTACCTGCAAGCTTGTTCCAGGTGTGCTGTGTTGATTATGATCTGCACCAGCTAGAAAATACAAAGTATGTCTGATGAGATGCAGGTTACATGTACACAAAACCATTTGGTTTTTTAACATGGATTATTACTTCTAGCAATCGTGCCATTTTTGTACAATTATAGCTTTATACGATACAAGGGATTATCTGATTTTAAAAGCCTGCTGCAAATACTATAAACACTATCACTTAAAAAAAAAACAAAAAACAAAAAACCAAGAGTCTAACTGCCAGTTGATTTAAAATAACACTTAAAAGTATTTTTCCAAATTTTATATATTTACCAATTAAAAAAATGAGTATTTTCACTTTTCATGTAAAGTCTGGCAATCATAAATCTACGTTCTAACATCATGAACTGTCTACCATATTCTCCATGTAAATATTTTCCCCTCACATGGTTTGAATTTACACCAACAAAACAAATCTACTCCTACTAATAAATTTAAAATAGAAAGCCAGTTTTACAGGATGATGTTTGGCAATACTTCATAAAAAATTTTTTCATATAATGAAACATTTATCTATTATTATTTTTTTTAAACTTACCTCTGTCAAACCTATATGAGGTTTTCTAATAAGGTTCAGTAAACAGCTACTCAAAGTTCTGGTCAGCAGGAGATTTGTAGATTTTCTAAGCATATCATCTATTTCTGTTGAGCTAAAGATAAAGACTGATTATGACTTAGCTTTCCACAAAGGTATGGTTAGCTTCCTAAATAATTTAACACAGTTTACTAAAATAATTTCCTCTACCTCATTCTTTTAGATCTTTAAATAAGTTACCCATATTTATTAAATTCCAAAACTCAATTCTGTCACAAAAGGGACATTTTCAATAAAGTTGAATGTTCATTTATGGCATAATTTAAATGTATTCAGTTAACCACTAGAGTAAAACCATTGGGTACTTAGTCTAAGGAAATAAAATTATTCTTAAATCATGACTCCACTATGGGACACTTTCAAAAGCACTTCAAATACAACCACAGCTAAAATTATTATTTTTTAATGTTTTATTAATTTTTGAGAAAGACAGCATGAGTTGGGGAGGGCGGAAATGGAGGGGGATAGCGGATCCAAAGTGAAGCAGGCCCTGTGTTGAGAGCAATGAGCCAGATGTGGGGCTGGAACTCACAAATTCTAAGATCATGACCTGAGCTGATGGACCTACAGCTAAAATTATTTTTAAAATGCAAATTGACATGAGCTCTTTCTAGACAGAATTAATTACTAGATTTAACTTTAATATAATTAAGCTATCCATTTCCATAGAGATTTTTTAAAAAGATTCAGAGAAATAAATGTAATTACATATGCTAGTTTTAATTTGGTGTAAAGAAAAAAACCCTCTCCAGTATTTCTTAACATCCTAAAGATTCCTACACTAGCACTAACAAGACTTTTACTTTCTAGGCCTTTAATTTAAGTAAATAATGACTTCTTCATATATATATGGATATATATAGCTTTGTTATCAAAACAGATAAGCTGTCTTCAGGCCAAGTTTTCTCAGTCTCAGCATCATGAACACTTTAGGCAAGATAATTCTTTGTTGTGGGGCTGTCCTGTGCTTTGAAGCAGCATCCCTGGCCCCTACCCACTAGATGCAAGTAGCACCCTTTCCTATAGTCGTGACAGCCCAAAATGTCTCTAGACGTTGCCAAATGTACCCAGGGGAGGGTAAAATTACTCCATCTGAGAACCACTGCCCGAAACACAGACTAAAATTTTAGCTAAAACATTTTAGCTAAATGTTATTTTACTAAAACATTACCCCTGAAGCAGAAATATTTACTAGTTTATTTATTTATTTATTTGTTTATTTATTTCTAGGAGAGAGAGAGAGACAGCATGAGCAGGGGAGGGTCAGAGAGAGAGGGAGATACAGACTCTGAAACAGGCTCCAGGCTCTGAGCTGGCAGTCAGCACAGAGCCCGACGCGGGGCTCGAACCCACGAACCGTGAGATCATGACCTAAGCGACAGTTGGACGCTTAACCGACTAAGCCACCCAGGCGCCCCACTAGTTTATTTTTTTAACTGCAAATAGAGCAAAATTGGACAAAACACAGGTGCTTCTCACTATTACTCCAATGTTTTTAATGCAGTCACTCTTTTCAATACCTGCTAACCCTAATTCTGGCAGACTTAAAAAGAGTCTTTCTCCGATTTTTTACAACTAAAATCAAGACTTCCCAGACATGCTACCAGGGCTTTAGGGTTTCTTACCATAAAACTCTCAAGCAGAAAACACTTTCTAATCTACCAACAGTGTCCTAGAATAATCAATGGACTCACCCTAATAAAAAAGAGGTGGTTGCTTACTCCTCTGGTTTCTTTTCTAACACACTCAAATTATGCTTAAACACATTTTCAATAGCATACTTCTCAGATGAAGTATAAAATATCCTGAAATACTTAGGATAGATAATTTCCCTGAACTCCCTTGAATGTTGAGTCAATGCATACTTTTTTTTTGAGTAAAAGTGAAGAAAACCTATCAGCACCTACATCCTCTTTGTGCCAACAAGATTTACCTGACAATGACCAGTACTGCCCTTATTACATTTTTATCCCATTTGAGCATTTTTTTCCCTTAACTCTTTGTCCTTTGAGCCTATAACCTGTACTCTTTTGTACTACCTTTTTAAAAAACATTTCATGGTAATTAAATCTGAATTATAATAAACCTCCTAAAATATTTTACAGCTTAACCTCTTATGCAAACTGAAAATTTCTTAAAGATCATATTAGGTCCAGATGTTTCCTCTGCGATCAAATAGTTGAGACTTTGAAGTCTCTTCATGAAGTCATTTCATTCTCCAGTCCTACTTTTATTCAGATATAAAAAGAAACCCAAACATTTGTACTACAAAGTTCTAAAGAATCTTCTGGTTCTAAAAATCTAACTCCAAAATATGTTTAAACATAACAAAAGAGCTTTAAATCCAGAAAGTGATTTTCCCCGTAACTTTTTAATGACAAATAAAAAAACAAAGGAATTCTAATAGCTCAGTTTCAGGTCACAGATGCAAATTTTTAAAATAAAAATATGTCAGAAAGCTGATAATCTAGAATAAATTTAGATTTACACATTTTTAAAGTAACTCTGTTGCATCTGTCTCTGTAGTCTGAACTGTTGATTCACTAACAAAATGAAAATACCAATGTATTTAGCAAAGCATAATTTTTAAAAATGTAAACATAACTCTTGTTGAATGAAGAACTTATTGTCATAGTTCATTAGAATGACTAGATACTGAACTTACAAAAATAACAAATATTTGTATCAGAGATAGAGGGAAAAAATTGACAACCTTTTCTGCTGTAGCATTAGTCCACAACATTGACCTCCTAGAAGGCTAGGAATTCACATACGAAACAGTAAGAACTGAGGTAACAATTCTAGTTCTAGTCCACCAGCTGGGAGGCTTTAGGGAAAATTATACATAATATTACAACTAATGACTTTTATCTTTGGTGTTCTAAATGCAATAAAGAATCATATAACAATTAGACAGCCAATGTGTCTTCTCTATAAATAAAACAGAATTCCAAACTGCTAAATTTCTATATTTTCTACAGTTTAACAATATCTTAATTAGATATCAGTCCTATTTTTCAATAACCAACATTTAGATTAGATAATAAAAGCTATGTGTTAGGACCATGCAAATTGTATATACTACCAATTAAACAATGTTAAAGTACTCTACATTTAAAGTAAAAGATAAAGGGAACCAGTATTACAGATTCAAGATTGCAGCTTCAAGAATAATTCTCAAATTTAACACTTGAGCCAAGTTGTAGGATGACTTTAAAGAGATATTTCTTGTTTCTCCCTTTCACTTGCATGTTTACCTCCAAAGAACAGATGAATGCATGCATCATTGTTTCCAAAGATGACTATCACCAGAAAATGTTTGAGAGCTTCACCTAAAGGTGGTCAAACTGTTAAATTCCCTCAACTTCTTCATCTATTTATTCACAAGCATGGGTAATATCAGACTCTTTGTTTATGTTCCTCCCTCTTCATCACCACTGATCCTGTTTCAGTCTTTCTTCACCTCTCTTCTTGAACCACTGCCTTCACCAGTTCAGCACGACTATTTTTTTATCCCCCTCTAACCTATCGTCCACATAAGGTCAGAGTAAACTTTCTAGAATATCACTTTAGTAATAACATTCCTTCCTTAAAAATTCTTCAACAATCCCCTGATGCTTACAAAATAAAATATTAACACTCCAAGCTCCAGTCTCACATCTAATATTACAATATCCCATCCTCTCTGAAATAACTATGTGCCTATCATACGCCAGGCACTATACCGAGTGCTTTATACACCTGCATTACCTCATTTAATTCTTGCAGCCACCCTATGAATTATTTCACTCATTTTACAGATGAGGAAACCTGCCCAAAGTCTTACTACAACTAGTGAGTGTCACCATCAAGATTCAAACTAAGGTCTAAGTTTGAAGCTTATATTCTTAACCACTGCATCATACTGCCTCTGTCCAAATCAGAAAGTTAAAGTATTAAATAAAAAACAAGATAGGTATAAATTACTGGTGGCTTTCAGACCATTTGAGCTCTGCTATTGAAAACTACCATCATAATCATTTGTTATTTATCCTCAGTTAATACTCCTATATATCCATCAGTTTACAAATGACAGACTATATGGTGTGTATTGTGTTGTGCAATACAGAGAACACAGTATCTTTAGTGAGTTTTATGACTGAGGTTAAAAGCTAATGTCTTTAAAATATACCTTTAGAGACTCTGGTATAAGAGATGGTAGAGTATTATGAAGTTTAAAGCATGGTTCTTAAAGTTTAGAATGCATCAGAATTACCCAGAGAACTTGGTAAAACCGAGGGCCCCACCCTCAGCAGGTCTAAGGTAGCATTTCTAACAATTTCCCATGTGATGCTAATGCTGCTGGTCTGGGGACTACACTTTGAGAATCAGTGGCTTGTGAAAAACAAACAGTACAACAGATGCCACGGATTAGGTATTTGTCTTCCTTTCTTTTCTTTTCCTCTCAAACTCATATGTTATTCAGGAACAAAAATTAAGAAATCTTTTAAACCATCTCTATTCACAAGGAAGAAGCAGTAGAAGACCCAAGGTCAGATACTTTTTTACCTTGGCAGAGCACACATTTCTTCGTCCATTTATTTATATGCTCTTTAAATCTCAAATCATGTAGCTTACAATAAAAGACACATACAATAAAAGCAGCTGTCATTGTTCTGTTTCAGCTTGAAAAACAAATGTTATACCTGAACTGTCTTCATGCCTTTCTTATAACTTAAAATTCAGAAGAGTCTCGCTCTGAAGGATATTTCCTGCTATTCAATATAGAAATTAAGAATGGAATTCAGAGAGGGAGACTATAAAGCCAGCATCACTCCTCTCTCCAGAGTCTATTTAGAAATAGAAATATGTGACTATAATGCATGGTCCATCTAGGTAGCTGGAACAAGGTGTGGCATAAAGATTAATGTTCTTCTAATATTAACTGATTATTCCTTCTATGCCAGACACTTTCCTGATATGGGAGTCTTAAGACCTATTCCTTCATCCCAACTCTCATACTAACGAGCTGGGTCATTCTAGGTAATGGAGCCTCCTTGAGCCTCAGTTTCCTTATCAGCAAACCAGGGATAATATCACATTTCCCAACCTCATTAATGTAGGGTATTGCTTTCATCACACCAGATAAATGGCATCCTCTAGTCTAAAGTCAAGTTGGCCACAGCTACCGGCAGTTGCTGTGGTGCTCTTCACTACTATACCAAATTGCTACAACATTCTTTACATCTACTGATTTTGTTTGAATCCTCATTTTAAACTTAATTAAGGAAAAACAAAATTGAGAATATCAGTTTTTTGACAAGTGAATAACATAAAGGAGGGATACTGTTTAGCTACTGCTAACCAAACAATAGAAAAACTAAAATACGTAAGACCTAAACAACTAAAGAAAAAGAAAAAAGAGAAGAAATATTGATAAACAAATTTAACAACAAATCCAAGGTATGAACCTTATTTGGACCCTGATTCAAACATACCAGCTGTAACAGCCCAAGTGTCCATTGATAAGATGGATGAATGAATACAGAAGATGTGGTGTATATATATAAAATAGAATATTATTCGGCCATAAAAAAGAATGAAATCTTGACATTTGTGAAAGCATGGATGAAAACGTAGAGTGTATAATACTAAGTTAAGTAACTCAAAGGGAGACAAATACCATATGATTTCACTTGTATGTGCAGTTTAAGAAACAAAGGGATAAAGAAAAAGAGGCCAGAAATAGACTCATCTACAGAGAACAAACTGGTGGCTGTCAGAGGGTAGATGGGAGAGGGAATAGGTGAAATAGATAAAGGGGATTAAGACTATACTTAGCATGATGAGCACTAGGTAATGTGTAGTTGCTGAATCACTGTATTGTACACCTGGAACTAATATAACACTATGTATTAACTATACTGGAATTAAAATTTAAAAACTTAATAAAAATTTTTTTAAGGAAAACAGTTGCAAATTGTTATTAGCAAACAAACATACTAATAATAAAAAGACATCTTGAGGACAATCAAGAAAACAGTGATATAGACTAGGGAATGGATATTATGGAATAGTGTTAATTTTCTTAAGTGTAAAAGTTGAATAATGAAATGCCTTTATTTTTTTAGAAATACATAGTGCTTCTAGGGGTAAAATGTCATTATTTCTGGAATTTGCTTTAAAATGCTTTGGCAAAAAAACTTAGAAAATATGGCAAAATGTTTATCATTTGTTATGGATGATAAGAACACAGGAGTTTCATATCCTATTATCTCTATTTTTATGTAAGTTTGAAGATCTACATGTTAAAAAATATAACATCAAATTTATAGCAGCTTAACCCCATTGTCACTAAAACATCTAAGCTTTTCCAATGAGATAATAATCCATTAAAGAATCTAGGCCTGCAAATCAAGTGTTAACGTTTCACAAAAATGGCTATGATGAAGATACATTTATTAGTAAACTTACCTCCGGTGTAGTGACTCTGAAAATTTAAGGCTAGCATAAATAAATTCCTTGACTTGAATGTAAATATGAGGCACTGACTGAGACATAGGAAATTTCTTTGGGAAAGGCTGCTGTAGAAAGAAAAACAAAGTTGATATTGTTTTTGAAATTTTAGAAAAAGATATTCTAATCACCTAAAAATGTAAAATTGCTTTTACACCTGAATAGGAAATAACTGCATCTCAAAGTCTACTGTTACATTTCTACATTATGTTTGAGATTTTAAACAAAACCAAAATATTTCTGAAGAAAATAAAGTGACAATTTACCTGTTTCTTAAATCCTATTATCAGACTTCTAAGAAGCAGAGAAAGTATATACCAATACCACTGTATGTTCTGATGAGAAGTATCCTGCAGAAGACATCTAGCTGTCTGTTGCTTTGCATTCATAATACAAGAGTCAGACTGGCCATGAAAGTTATGGGCCATTTTCCTGGCTCAGTATCATCAATTAATTCTAAGAGTTCCCTCACTCACCTTCAATGAAGGCTTGACACCAACAAGGTATCCATTTCATTCAGTAATTCCTAGAATACCTTACAGCAGCACAGCCAGTGGTTTACAGGGTGCCTTTTGGCTAAAGTGCTTTACCAGCCAAAATCTACTAGCAAACTCTCAGTTTCCAAAAGATAAATTCTCTCCAAGATTTCTACCAAAAGCTCCTATTTATACTTAATCAATTCTAATTTATACTTCCATCTTCAGATTTGCTGCAACCTAGTTAACCAGTGAAAGTATCTTCACCAAGGTGACTAATGACCTCATAGACGTTCAATCCAAAGGACTGTGCCAGCTCTGATGTTGCCTGATTTATCTGAAATATCTGACACAGTTAGTTCCCTCCTGCTTCCTCTTCTTTTTTTTTTTTTTTAATGTTTTTATTTATTTCTGAGAGAGAGAGAGAGACAGCATGAGCAGAGGAGGGTCATAGAGTGAGGGAGACACAGAATCTGAAACAGGCTCCAGTCTCTGAGCTAGCTGTCTGCACAGAGCCCAACACGGGGCTCGAATCCACAAACTGTGAGATCAAGACCTGAGCAGAAGCTGGACGCTCAATCGACTGAGCCACCCAGGTGCCCCAGTTTCCTCCTGCTTCTTAAATGATCTTTCCTTCCGTGGCACCCATGCCTCAAAGATTTTCCTCTTATTTGTCTACCTTCTCTGTAGCTCTCCCTAGTCGTCTACTCATCTCTTAATTGTTATGCCTTAGGGTTCTAGCCCACATCTTGTTTTTTTGTTTTTTTTGTTTTTTTTGTTTTGAGAGAGAGAGAAGAGAGAGAGAGAGCGCACACAGGGAGAGAATCTCAAGCAGGCTCCACACTGTCAGCATAGAGCCCAATGTGGGGCTCAAACTCAAGACCTGTGAGATCATGACCTAAGCCGAAATCAACACTTGGACACTTAACCAACTGAGCCACCCAGTTTCCCCACCCCTCATGTCTTCTTACCACACATAATGCCCTTGGATGATCTTGTCTAACCTCATGACTTTAATCACCATGCAAGTACCAGTATCTCCCAAATCTATAACTCCAGACTAAGTCTCCTGAAGTCCACATTCATATATCTAACTGCCACTTGAACACTTCCATTAGGCTGGGACATTTGGGACATAATCAGTAGATCCAATCAATTACCATCCTTTCCTTCTAAATCTGTTCCTCCAGTGTTCCCTATCTTAGTGAATGCTACTACCCTTTAAGGCAGAAACTCGGCTATTATACTTGATCCCTCTATCTTCATCATCCCTCATATGCAAATAATCACCAACTCCTACTGTTCTCCACATCTAAACATCTCTTATATCAAATTACATGGCCATGACTCCCACTCAGGTCACCAATCTCTCTTACCAAGATAACAGCAACAATTCCAATTCCCTAGCTGGTCTCCTAGCCACTAGTCTTACTCTTATTCAGTCCGTTCACCACACATTAGCCAAAGAGATCTTTGCACAAATCAGATTATGTTTTTAGTGTTTAAAACCCTGTTGTGACTTCTCAATAGCCCTCAAGATAAAGGCTGAACTCTCTAACATTGTTTATAAGGGCTATGATAGTCTGGTCCTTTCTACTTCTTCATTTTCATTTCTTGATTTTCATCTCTTGGACTTTATCAACTTTGCATTTTATATTACAGAATTAGAGCCTTTCTGCATGCTGCTTCCTTTATCTTAGAGTGCCAAATTCTGTGAATTGTAATTTCATGTTTACCCCTCTCTTGACTATATGCTGCTTGAAAGCAGAGACTGAAAAACTACCAAACAGCACAATACCTAGTAGATGAATGATAAATATCTGAATGAACAAAGGTATTCTTAAGTGCCTCCAGCAGAAGGAAACGTACAAGTGACTGCTGATGACACAGTCATACACAGTACTGTCTCTTCAAAGCTGGTAGTTTCAACCTTTCCAAATTTAGAGACTCAATCAGGAGTATTACAAAACCAACCAAACAGTTGGCATTCTTTAAAATCACCTGATGATAATGTAAGTGCTAACTCACTTCCAAATTATGCTTCACAGAATAATGAACTCAATACTATTTAAAAGGCATTTCAGCTTTAAGAACTATTTTAATGACATTAAAGACAGAATATAAAAAAGTTCTAGTTTTAGCCAGAGTTCTAATCAAATTAGCATAGTTATCTGTGAAAAGACAGATCTTTGCATATACATTCAGTCTTGCTTCCTGCTCACCTATACTATACACTGAAAATACAATTCAAGCTATTTCAGAAACAGTTTTACATCTTTTCTAATGGTTTTAAATAAAAATTATACTCAAATTAGGAGAAAACTGAATATATAAACACACAACTAAAAGAATGTTACTACATAATTTTATGAGATTTCTTTTTCAGTTTGCACATGTAAATTTTCCAAGTGGCTTTTATTTTAACATTAGTTCTTCTTTTTAAGAAGTAATATATGAACCAATGAATACAACTCCTAATGAGCTTAATCCCAAGAGAAACTGCATATATTGGAAATACCCTACAAGCAAAGTCAAACTTCCTTTTAACTATAAACCTGCTTAGAATGATTTAGTATAATGAGAAAGGACATTAGAGATTATTTAGTTCGACATTCTCATTTGACGGATGTGGCACAAATGCCTAAATAGGGTAAGTCATCTGCCCACAAGCCATAGGCAGAGCTGGCATGTGAACCTGGACCAAATCCAATGTTCTTTATATAGACGCTATAGCCTGAACAAACTTATTACCAGTAACTAAAACAAAATAAAACCAAGCCACAACATGTAGAATATTCTGGTCTTTTGTGTGCTTTAGAATACAACTATTATGTATATGCAATGGCAGTCTTAGCTATAATCTAAAAGCTATGCATTTAATTACTTGGTCCTATATTTAGTGACTATTATACATAATATGCCTAGTTTATATATATAGAAAAACAAAAATTTAGTCACAGTTCACACAATTCACTGAGAATTCACTCTTGTTCATTGTGAAGAAATGAAAACAGAAAAGGACTAAATTATAAGGAGTTAGACAATAATAAAAAAGTGTAAAGAGAAAAAAAAACTAGAATAAAAGTGACAGTGAAAGGAAATATGATACCATTTTCTGAGGAGATCCGATCCTACTCAGAGATACTAGTAGGTCTGAGTTTATGCTGATGTGCAGGGATGAGCACACATATGCAATCATGTGTGTTCCCACAATACGCTACATCCTGGTCTATTTTCTTTCTCTGTCCTGTCTTTTGTTAACACATCTTGACTCCAAAAATATATATTCCTATTTCAGGTGAAAAAATCTACAGGTGGCAATTGCCTTCAAAAACCCCTATTTAACTAAGATAAACTTTTTGCAGAAGGGTATTTCTAGAAAAGAAAACACAAAATAAGATCTTCCACAGTGATGAACATCTCAGATAAATTCTCCTCTCTTTCCTGGAATATTCTTATTCCTATAATGTATTTAACATTTATTTTATCTAATTTGGAATCTGTATAATGCTACTAATACCTGTCCTGGGAATTCACCTAACATTTGGGACAACTGCTCCTAATTTCTCCAGGAAAATCCCTTCTTAACTTCACAAAAACAGTAGTAGTAGTAGTAGTAGTAGTAGTAGTAGTAGTAACATAATCTTTAACAGTTAACAAAACATAATTGAGTTTCTCAGATAAAACCATAACAACAAAAGCCTCAAAAGAAGCCACTCTCACAATGTCAGGTTAATATTATATAGCAATAACTATCATGAATTTATTTCAGAAAATTTTTAAATTAAAAACTAGCTTATACCTTTTCAAGGTCTGGATCTTGAAAGGGAAATTTACTGATGACTACTTTATATTCTTCTTCATTAACAACAGGGATGGGGCTGTAATTATCTTCTTCAAAAATGTCCCTGTTAAGAAAGAAGAGAGAATTGAAAATAAAGTATTGAAAATGTATCACTGGAGTGATATAGGACAATACTTTTTTTTTATAAAGCAATTACCAAAAAAGTATTTTCATTAGTCCATTAAAATTTGAAACAGGAAAACACTGCCTACTCATCCAGAATTCTAAAATTTAATACCAAATAAATCTTGTCCCTCAAAATTTATACACAATCTCTTCTTTTCACTTGTTTTAGATCCTCTCAGCACTTCAGTTTTAGTTTTTCACTCTAGAACATTTCTTAAGATGCACAGTCTGAACAAACTCATTCTCTATGACTAAAAACAAAGCCATGAGTATTCCAATTGTATTTCCTGATAGGGACAATTCTCAAATTGTAAGTCTTTTCTCTCTCTCTTCTCAGCTAGATCGTAAGTGCCCTGAAGATGAAAACAAGGCTTTCTATTTAGTCTTTTCAAAATGCTGTATTTACAAAAGGACCTTTTTATATTTAGTAAAGTAAGACAATTACTACTCATCCAAGGTCCATGCACTCTCCATGTGCTCACACAGCCCCCTTGCAAACTGGCAGAGACATATCACTAGTGTGGGCCACTGGGTTGAGAATGGACGTGACAGGTGCTGCTTCAGGTCTAAAGCATTTATGAGCTAACCGTGTGACTCTCTTTCCCATGGTGACAGGGGAGACAACATGTCAAGAATGTGGAAACACAAATGCAAACAGCCTAGATCTAGGACTATAAGATCCAGCAGGGATTTCTGTGTGAGAAACAAAATGTCTACCCATCCAGGGTGATACCGGGCACTTTTGTTACTAGAGCATAACCCAGACTGTCCAAATATACCTGCTGTCCAACCATTAACTTTCTTTTAATCAATAATTCAGCTTGACTAATATTTATTGAGCACTTATTGTGTGCCAGAATTTGGAGTAATTGTGATGAAAATTCCCTAATTCATGAAGATAAAAACAAGATGTTTGTTTTCAACCTAACAGAGGAGATACAGACATGAAAACAAATTATTTTTATGATAATGCATTATACATAATAAAAGAGGTGCAAGGTTCAGAAATAGCACAAAGGAAGAAATGATTAAGTTTATCAGAGTAGGTGGGAGATGACCTCATGGAAAGTTTTACGGAGAAGCCATGCATTCTGTAGGGCCTTTCAAGATGAAAAAAGAAATAATTATTTTTTTTCTTTTTTGAAAAAAGAAATACTTCTAATGAGATTATAGAAGAGGGGTGCCTGGGTGGCTTAGTCGGTTGGGCGTCCGGCTTTCGCTTAGGTCGTGATCTCGCGGTTCGTGGGTTCGAGCCCCGCGTTGGGCTCTGTGCTGACTGCCGGCTCAGAGCCTGGAGCCTGTTTCAATCTGTGACTCCCTCTCTCTCTGACCCTCCCCTGCTCACACTGTCTCTCTCTCTCTCTCTCCTAGAAATAAATTAAAAAAAAATATTAAAAAAAAAAAAGAGATTATAGAAGAACAGCGTATCAGAAAGATGGAATGTAACAAGCAAAAGCTTAAGGGGTAAAAATGTATGAGTGTGGGAGGAAGTAAAACCACAGGTAATGCAGTACTATTACTGCATCAAGTAAACAAGAGACATGGTGTAAATGAGGCTGGCCAGGTGACAAACAGAGTCACCCAGATTTTATCCTGTAGGCACTGGAACACCATGAATAGGTTTTAGACAGACAATGTCATACGTCCACTATGTGGAGGATAAATTGGGAAAAGGACAATAATGAACACAGAGGCCAGTGAGAAAGACTGAAGAATGTCCTAGTGTGGAAAGGAGGGGGCAAAAACAAGAGCTTTAAGAAATAAAGTAAATACACAGGATTTGAAAACTAAATAAGGTTATGGGGGAAGGTATATTCGGGATGACTCTGCAGTTTCCAATCAGGCAAATGGACAAATGATGTATATGTCACCTCATCAGAGACATTTGCTGAGGTAAGGAACACAAGAGAAGGATATGATTTCGACAGTGGACGACTGATATCTCATTGATAAATGGGGTCTGAAGAATTGATGAGAGACTGGAAATAAAGGCACCAGTTTGTAAATCATGATGGTGCACAACATAGTTACAATAAGTCTCTGCTCGGGGTGGAGGAGGATTAAGATGATGTTTAGCTAGAGGCATCTGGGTGGCTTAGTCAGTTAAGCATCTGACTCTTGATTTTGGCTTGGGTCTTGATTTCTGCTCGGGTCATGATCTCATAATTAATGAGATCGGGTTCTGCTCGATGAAAGGCCTGCTTGGGATTCTCTCTGTCCCTCCCCCACTCTCCTCCCCTCTCTCTGTCAAAAGAATAAAATCTTGAACTGGAGGGTATTATGTTAAATGAAGTCAGTCACAGAAAGACAGGTGATTTCACTCAAATGTAGAATATGAGAAACTTAACATGATCACAGGGGAAGGGAAGGAAAAATAAAATAAAAACAGAGAGGAAGGGAAACCATAAGAGATTCTCAAACACAGAAAACAAATTGAGGGTTGATGGGTGTGGGGTAAACGGGTGATGAGCATTAAGGAGGGCACTTATTGGGATGAGGACTGGGTGTTATATATATATGAATCACTGGATTCAACTCCTGAAGCCGAGACTATACGACATGTTAACTAACTTAAGAGTATAAACAAACAAACAAGATTTTAAGAAAGAATTTAAAAAAGACACTGTTCAATTAAAATATTGTGAGATGGTTCCACTAATCCTTTTTCCTTTTTTTTTTTTAATGTTTACTTATTTTTGAGAGAGAGAGACAGAATATGAACGAGGAAGGCACAGAGAGAGGGAGACACAGAATCTGAAGCAGGCTCCAGGCTCTGAGCTATCAGCACAGAGCCCAACATGGGGCTTTGAACTCACGGACCTGACCTGAAGCTGGACGCTTAACTGACTGAGCCACCCAGGCACCCCAATCCTATTTCCTTTTAAATAGTATTTTAAATTAAGAGTTTAAAAGACAAGTTACACTATAGAAAACAAACAGATGGCTACCTGAGGGGAGGTGTGTGGAGGTATGGGTGAAACGGATAAAGGGAATTAAGAATACAATTAATTATTATCTTGGGGGCACCTAGGTGGCACAGTTGGTTAAGCATCTGGTTCTCAATCTCGGCTCAGGTCATGATTTCACAGTTCGTAGGTTCGAGTCCCTCGATGGACTCTGTGCTGATAACATAAAGCCTGCTTGGGATTTTGTCTCTCCTTCTCTCTGCCCCTCCCCTGCTTGTGCGCGCCTGCTCTCTCCCCTCTGCCCAAATAAATAAACTTTAAAAAAAGTATACAATTATATTGATGAGCGCTGAGTGACAGAATTGTGGAACTACTATATTGTACCCCTGAAACTAATATAACACGGTATGTTAACTATACTGAAATAAAAAAATTTTTTTCAAAGGCAAGTTACAGTTAAGAAACTACCAGAAGACCATAAACTACTTACTTTATACAAATGCCAGGGAATCAGTTAATATGAAAGGCGAGATAATTTAATGAATGGTACTTTCACATTCTGAAAATGCTCATGTGGTCTTCAAAGTGACTGTTTACTGAACTGAATTCTATAAACATTTACTGAGTTCCTGCTCAGTGTAAAGCACTATACTTGGGGCTAGGCAATCAAAAATATAAATATAAATAAAGCACTGGTGTTCATGATATACCTGGATATAACCATACACACATAAATAAACTATAATAGTCAGATTATAAATTCTGTCATGGAAATAGTCAAGTCTTAATTATTCAATACTGATGATAACTTTTACTTTTTAGCCATTGCTAGGTTGTCACTTCACTACTTGTAAAGTCAAAGTACATCTTTGAAGATATATAGGTCAGAGATAAGAAAAGCTTAAATTCTGCTACTTTTTTTTCCCAAAATTTTATTTTTAAGTAATCTCTACACTCAAAATGAGGCTCAAACCTTTTTTTTTAATGTTTATTTATTTTTCAGAGAGAGAGAGACAAAGTGCCAGCAGGGGGAGGGGCAGAGAGAGAGAGATACAAAATACAAAGTAGGCTCCAGGCTCTGAGCCTGACGCTTGAACTCGTGAACTGTGAGATCATGACCTGAGCCAAAGTTGAATGTTTAACTGACTGAGCAACCTAGGTGCTCCCAACATGAGACTCAAACTTAAAACCCTGAGATCAAGAGTCACATATTCTACCTACTGAGCCAGCGAGGCACCCCTCTACTATTGCTTAAAAATCAAGGCAAAAGGCGTGATCTAGAAGGGTATTAAAAGTAGAAGTAAAAAAAAAAAAAAAAAAAAGTCAAAAAACATTTGAAAATTATAGAAAAAATACTTCATGGTTTTCTCCCATCTTGGGGGACAATCTCACTACTAGAAGTCTCATGATAATGAATACAGCTGGCTCAATACAAATGTATCAACAATTATAAAACTTAAAAACTCTTCTAAAGAGGGCAAGTTATTAACATCCCTATATGCAAAGATTTTCTATCTAATGATACATTATATCACATTACATCACAACATATACATTACAGATTACCATCCATCAATAAACACTACCCGTATTTCCTGTTTTTCAAATTTTTTTTTGAATTTATTTTTTATTTATTTCTAGGAGAGAGAGAGAGAGAGACAGCATGAGCAGGGGAGGGTCTGAGAGAGAGGGAGATACAGACTCTGAAATAGGCTCCAGGCTTTGAGCTGGCAGTCAGCACAGAGCCCAACGCGGGGCTAGAACCCACCAACCGGGAGATCATGACCTAAGCGAAAGTCGGACGCTTAGCTGACTAAGCCACCCAGGCGCCCTACACTACCTGTATTTCTAAAATACTAAAGACCAAAAATCGTTGATGCATATCTGTGTTTCATCAAGACTGTCAAGTGTCCACGTGAGACAACATCCTGACAATATAACCCCTAAGAAATGTTAATACAGAAAGTGCAAATAAGAATTTATTTGGTTTATTTTAATAAAAGTGAAAATACCTTGTGAATGACTCAGATATTTTAAAAAGATTTCTATCACAGTATTCAGAAGGTCAACTCTGTAGTTTTGAAAACTGATGAGGCAAATGTCAAGCTGATGTTAAATCATTTAACATATTTTGTTTTAATCTCATTAAATATTATTGCCACATCATTTCTATATTTGGGTGACCTAGATGGAAGATCTCAAGATTTACTTTTTTTTTGAAAGAAAGAAAAAAGAAAGGAAGAGAGGGGAGGAAGGAGGAGAGAAAGAGGAGGGAGGGATAAAGGACTTTAGAATTAGGGAACAGATTTCTCTTTTCATGGCAATACAAAATTATATAGATTATAAAATACTTTGTCCATATCCTGCAGGCAAGTGATTAAAGCAAAACTAATATTCCTAATTAGATGCTTTAAAGACTTTTAATCTAGTTATGTTGTTTGTAAAAATAGCACTTTCTCCAAACAAAATTTATTTAAGTTTATTTACTGTGTATGTGTGTGTGTGAGAGAGAGAGAGAGAGAGAGAGACAGAAAGAGAGAGAGAGAGAGAGAGCAAGCAGGGGAGGGGCAAACAGAAGAGGAGCCTGACAGAGTCCATCGGCAGAGAAGGTCCTACTCAGGACTCAATTTCAGGACTGTGGGATCATGACCTGAGTTGAAGACCAAGAGTCAGATGCTTAACCAATTGTGCCACCAGAGTGCCCTTCCAAACAAAATTTAAAAGCCATAAATCTGTTTCTAATACTAAATACCTTTGAATACTTATAGCCTTTTTTTTTTTATTTTTTTTACAAATAGTTTATTGTCAAATTAGTTTCTACATAACACTCAGTGCTCATCCCCAAAGTGCCCTCCTTCATGCCCATCCCCCCCTCCCCCCCACATCCATCAGTCCTCAGTTTTTGTCAGCATTCAAGAGTCTCTCATGGTTTGCCTCTCTCCCTTTCCCCCACCATTTCCGCCCTTCTTCTCCCCCTTGGTCCTCCGTCAAGTTCCTCCTAATCCTCCTATACGTGCAAACATATAGCCTTATATCTATTATTTATTGGGGAAAACAAACTACAGAGATTAGAACTAAAAGGAGTTCAATTAAAAATTTATTATAGGGGCACCTGGGTAGCTCAGTTGGTTAAGCCTCCAACTTCAGTTCAGGTCATGATCTCATAGCTCTTGAGTTCAAGTTCCGGGTCAGGCTCTGTGTTGATAGCTCAGAGCCTGGAGCCTGCTTCAGATTCTGTGTCTCCCTCTCTCTCTGCCCCTTCCCCATTTGCACTCTGTCTCTCAAAAATGAATAAAATTAAATTTTTTTTTTTAAATTTCATTATAAATAGTTTAGCTGCTATGGAAAACAGTATGGCAGTTTCTCAATTTATTAAACATATATCTGCCATATAATCCAGCAATTCTACTTCTGGGTGTATTTCCTAAAGAACTGAAAACAGAAACTGAAACATATATTTATACATCAGTATTCACAGCAGCATTACTCACAACAGCCAAAAGGTGGAAATGACCAAATATCCATAGGTCGAGAAATAGATAAATAAAATGTGGTTATATACATACAATGGAATATTATTCAGTCTTGAAAAATGCATACATGCTACAACATGGATGAAACTTGGAAACATTATGCTAAGTGAAATAATCTATGCACAAAAAAACAGACAAACATTGTTATGAGTCCACTTACATAAAATGCGTATAATAGTCAAATTCATAGAGACAAAGTAGAATGGTAATTGTGGGGCCAGAAGAAGGGACTAGGGGGTTAATGTTTAATAGGTACAGTTTCAGTTTAGGAAGATGAAAAATTTCTAAAGAAGTATAGTGGAGATGTACGTAGTGTCACTGAACTATACATTTTAAAAAGGTTAAAGTGGCAAAACTTGTTATATATATTTACCACAATAAAAAAATAATTATAAGCATTTTTATTGCTAAATTCAAAATCATATAAGGATTTTTATATGCTAAAGTATATAACAAACTTTTTTATTACATTAAAGTTCCATGGATTTAGACTAACCTGAAAACTCCAGCCCATTTCTTAAGCAGTGTTTCATTGTATTGATCTCTTATTTCAAACAAAAGGTCAAAAAGTCGGTTCACTGGAAAACCATAACCCTAAAACACAACACAAGCAGATAAACAAGTCAAATAAGTAAACATATTCATAAGAGAAATGTTGGGAATATTGGAGAACTGTCTGAAAATGATCACTATATCATACTGTATTTCATTCCAACAGCATTAAAATAAGATATCCTTTTGACTTTCTACTAGGTTGCATTAGATAAAAAGAGTCTAGAAAGGCTTTTATGAAGCTGGAATAATTTTCCCACTTCTCTCTCTTTTCAGCCTGGATTACATGGTTAACCTTAAAAAGCATTAGAAGTCGGGGCGCCTGGGTGGCTCAGTCGGTTAAGCATCCGACTTTGGCTCAGGTAATAATCTCACGGTTCGTGGGTTCGAGCCCCGCATCAGGCTCTGTGCTGACAGCTCAGAGCCTGGAGCCTGTTTCAGATTCTGTGTCTCTTTCTCTCTCTCTCTGACCCTCCCCTGCTCTCGCTGTCTCTCTCTCTCTCTCTCTCTCTCTCTCTCTCTCTCTCAGAAATAAATTTTTAAAAAAAGCATTAGAAGTCAAAACTAGAGAAAAAGTTCAAGATTAGTGATCTGCATATATAATGGTATCTTGGGAAGTGGTCCCTAAAAAGGATAAAAGAAGAAAAGAGAATATCTTTTGTCTGAAACACAGTGGCTTCATTTTGCACCTTCAATTTAAGATCGACTTCACTGTACAGGGAAAATATACATCTTTCCATCAAATATACACTCTCCCCAACTGTATTCCTTTCCAAATTCATTGAAATCTTACCCATTTCAGGACCAAATATTTCTGTCCACCTCACAGATTTGTCCTTTTTCCCCTTCAAGTTTTCCCCCTTCTTTATTTTTGATCCTACTCCACTAGCAGGAACTGTTCCATGCATTATCTATTCACCATTGTGTTTAACTTCCACTAGTTCCTTTCCCTTGGCTAAATAAATATGTTAAATTACCCCTCATCTTTAAGCCAAGAAAAATAAGAAAAAACAGTAAGAAAAACAAAAAAGCTCTTCCTCAATTTGCGGTGCCTGCCAGCTGCCCTCCTTTGTACTCTCTTCATAGCCAAACCTACTACAATCTAATTCCCACTCCTCTTCCTTTAAAACTGCTCTCAATAATGTCACAGATTACCTCCTATATATAAAAGTCAGTGATCTCTCACTCTACAATTACCTTTCTCTTGAAACTCGTCTACTTTGAATTCTGTACCATGACTCACACTCCTTGTTCTCCTTTAATCTATGAACAGTTATTCCAGTTTTCCTTTATCTTCTATCTCCATCTTTCAATCTTTTCTTCTAGGTCTCTAGCATAATCTGAAGTCTACTGACTTCAAACACTATTTCCTCTGAGTATTCTGAATCTGCATCTCTATTACACCTCTGGAAACTCCAAATATTTAACTCCAACACTTGTTAGACATCTCCAAGAGTCTGCCAGCAAGCAAACACATCCAAGTTAACTTATCTCTTCCCTTTCCAACTAAACAACGTGTTTTTCCTATTTCCTCCTAGCTCTGTTAACAGTTCTACCATCAATTCAGTTATTAGGAAAGAAATTTGAAAAACATCTAAACAACCCCACACTAAATATATCTAACCATTTAACAAATCCTTTTGATTTTACCTCCTTCACAAATCTCTTTCAAATCTATCATTCTTCTCCATCACTCACTGTCTCTTTTCCAGAAGTATCATCAGTGCCACTGCTTCATTTTGCTCCTCCACTTCTCTTGCCTACACCATTGTAAGAGCCCCCTAAACTGAAGTTTGAACCATCTGTTTCTTTCGGCTCAATGTATTGCCAAGACTCCAAAAATTATCATTTAAAAGTGCAAATCTGATCTTGGCACCCCCCAGGTTAAAAACTACAGAAGGCTCACTAAAGTCCCACAAGACTGCCATAATCTGGATCAAACTACATTGTCAGTTGCATTACCACTATTTGCCCTTCTTTGCTCACACCCATCTTCTATCACCATACTATCCCTCTATCACCATACTATCCCTCTATCTACAGTTTATACATGCTATTTTATTTCCTTTGTGATTCATGCCCCTTTCTTGATATGTATTTGTTGAACTCAGCTTTTAAAACCCAACTCACATTTCAACTTTCTATACGGGCTTTCCCAACCTACAATTAAAGTCAGACATTCCATCTTCTGTGAGCCCAAAGGTTTTTAATATATTGCTATATTAGTATGTCTTATACATCTTACCTGTTTAAACCATAAAGTTCTTGAAGAATTTTTATGTCCCTATTGTCTTACTGATTTTTATGTCTCTATCATTTTATACATCATCTAGCTACTAGCACATAGTGGGTGCTCAAAAAATGTTAGTAATAAATCATAAGTGTTTACTTTTGATTTGCTTAATATATTGTAAGCAGAATATATGTGTGTGTGTGTGTGTGTGTGTGTGTGTGTGTGTGTGTATGCTGGTGTTACTTTTTAATGTTATTGTTTAGTCAGCTTTGTTTTAATAAAATCACACATGAAAAGAAAATTTTCCTTAGGGTGGCAAAGGGTCAATTTTAAAAACTAAATATTATGCAATGTTTTCTAGTTTTTATGAAAAGACCCTCCCCAATTCTTTAGTTAAAATGTATAATTTGACCACACTGTGTAAGACCTACCTAATACTCACCCTGTCAATTTTCAGTGGAATGAAAATACTGCAGGATTTCTGAGTAAGTAATAAGAACTGGTTTGTCCTCCTCAATCTTATTTCAAAGCAGTATACTTACAAGGGTTTGTCCACCCATCACTGCTACTTTTTAATGCCTCTATTACCTGAATATTGTCTATTACTCTTCTCTGATTCTCTAGAGAAATTCTTGGAACCATAGCAAATATTGTAGATTCAGTTGTACTCAAAGTGCCAACTCAAGAACAGTTTGTTATGGCTTACCAAGAGATAAGGAGCTTGCATCAGAATATAAATCAATGACGCTAATCTACATCAAGAAAGTCTTGCTACAAAATACATGCCAACTGAGCTAAATTTTGTACTTAGTCATGTAGTTGATTTACATTCTGACAGAAGTTCCTTTATGTTATAGATCCATAATGAACAATTTGTGGACTGGTAACCATTTCCAGACCAGTGAGTGGTATTCCCACCATGCTTTGAGTAGCAATGTTTTTAGTTGTTAAGGTAGCAAAACTCCCTCAAGTTATTTAGAGACAGACCTGAAAAAATTAAGGTGGTCTCAAATAAAACTTACCAAGATTTTTTTTTGCACAGAAATCAATATTACAGATATATTTGTCACAAAACTTATGAAAACAAAAAATCCACATTATCCTGGTGTTACAGTATAAGACATAGAAAAGCTGTAAGACAATAAAATAATCTACTAAAGGAACTTGTAGAATCTTCTTAGGTTTAAGAACAAAGTTGAAAACTATTATTCTAAGATGGAAAAACTCTTATGATGAAGCAAATAGTTTAAATTAGCATTTCCCAAAGCATATTATATGAAGCTCTATATCTACAAGATGTCATATAGGGGGAAAAAGATTCAAAGGTCAAATATACAGGGAAAATGCTGCATAAGCACCTTCCTTTTGGAATCATATGGTATAAATTTGCTCTGAAGAGGCTGTTAGTGGAGAAGTCTGTTTTACTTCACTTATTTCCCAGATGTTTTGATCACAGAACTCTTTTTAAAGTAACATCTATTATCACACTTTGGAAAATGCCAATCTATATTTCATGAAATGTTATTCCAACCATAAAAAATCCCTTAAGTTTAAACATGAAAACAATACAATCAATTCCTGACCATCTGTGATCAGGTAAAATGGACAAGCTTAAAACTTTGATACTGAAAATCACAAAGGCACTGAGTTTTGATACAATTCAGTTTAAATCTTATTTTTAAAATTTTATTTTTTTTTTTAATTTTATTTTTGAGCAGAGAGACAGAGCACGAGTAGAAAAGGGGCAGACAGAGGTAAACAGAATCTGAAGCAGGCTCCAGGCTCTGAGCTATTAGGACAGAGCCCTATGGGAAACTCGAACTCATGAACTTAGTTAATAGCAAGGGCGGAATATAAACTCAGGGTTTTGTGTGACTTCCTAAGGCAGTGCTTGTATCTTCTAGTTTCTAATTTTTTTAATGTTTATTTACTTTATGAGAGAGAGAGAGACAGCATGAGTTGGGGAGGGGCAAAGAGAGAAGGGGACAGAGAATCTTTAGCAGGCTCCAGGTTCTGAGCTGTCAGCACAGAACCTGATGCAGGGCTCAAATTCATGAACCATGTGAGATCATGACCTCAACCAAAGTCAGAAACCTAACCAACTGAGCTACCCAGGTGCTCCTGTATCCTCTAATTTCTAGTTCACAGTTCTTTTCACTATAACATGTACTTTTTTTTAACTACAAAAATCTTTATCTAAAAAAGGAAAATTGAATCTATTCTCTCTGAATGACCAATATTTTAAAAAATGACAGGGGTGCCTGGGTGGCTTAGTTGGTTAAGTGGCTCAGGTCATGATCTCACAGTTCATGGGTTCAAGCCCTGTGTCGGGCTCTGTGTTGACAATCAGAGCCTGGAGCCTGCATCCGATTCTGTGTCTCCTCCTCTCTCTGCCTCTCCCTCACTTGCACTCTATCTCACTCTGTCTCTCAAAAACAAATAAATGTAAAAAAAATTTTTTTTTAATAAATAAAAGATGACAATATTCCCTGAGCTCTTTCCAGGCTTCATAATCAGGAAGGTGGGGAGAATGAAAAATCTTGGGTAATAGGGAATATCATATATAAGCAAACATCTGGTTATTACTAATTTACCACCACTAATCCATAATAAAATAAATGAGCATGATCTATATTTTGTAAATCTTTAAGTGCTCAAAATAGCCATAAATTGAATGTTATATTATCACCCACCTGCAAAGTATCTGCAAATAATACAATGAGATTCTTCAACTCCAGAACAAGATCAGGATCAGTACAATAAGACTGGGTGAGAGAGGTGGAGGGGTGGAAATACAAACAAAAACAAATATAAACCAGAGTCATTTGGTTAAAAACAAATAAAACCTGAAAACTTTTCCTTTAATATGCCAGACTTATAATAAATTTAAAATCTTATTAGTTAAATCCATGGCTGGCTTTCTCTATTCAGTAAAAATTCTTAGGGAAAGACCATAACATAATTATTCTTTAATATGTTAGAAAAAGTTATAGTTCATTGGACAAACAAGTGTATAAAGAACCTACATTCACTAAACTATTTGTAAAAAAAAAAAAAGAATCTACATTCCTGATAAATAAAAAATGTAGTATATTTATAATCTAAATACTACATAAGCTAATAACCCTTTAAAATATTTTCATTATCTATTCTCAATAATAAAATTACAAATAATAGATTACAAAATTTTAAGTATTTGACTATCTTAAGAAAATGTCTATAATAAGCAATTATTAATTTCAACAGTCTTTATAGTACTAGTATATTATTTGCACAAAAGGTATATTATGCAAATATTTGATCATTTTACTTTCATGCATAAAAAAATTTCTCATTACATAAAGGTTCATCATTTCAAATGAGTTTAAATTTTGAGAATTGCACATTTTTAAGAAATCCGTAATTATATTACTGCAAACAAATTATAAACATCGAAGAACAAGTTCTATGAGTTTTAATGGTGGAGTTTATTTTGGAAACAAAGAATTTGGAATGATAATTAAAAACCCTTTCTTCACAGTGCTTTTCAGTGATCTAATGAAGAGGTCAGTTGAGACTAATGAGACCAGCTTAATTCTTCATTTTCTATTAATGCTGGACTAAAAGTATGTTGGGAAGCCCCAGTCAGTTGCAAAATTACAACCCAGTATAACCAAACAAAAGCCTAACATTACTGCTTCTAAATCTGAGCTGCTATCAAAAATGCAGAATGATGGAGGTACAGTTTTCTTTTGACATCATGCATTTCAGAAGTTCCTGAAGTAACTGAATTAAAAACTTAGTAACATAATTTGTCTGACTTACTGAATGAGCTCTAAGGACAGCAATTATCTTTGAGAGGGCCATGTTCCAAAGTTCATCAGTGTATGCCCTGGTTACTAATCCTTGGGTCACATGTAAAATGTGATCTTCCACCACAAAGAACCTAAAAACAGTAATTACCAACATAACATGTATTAAAAAAAAATTAAAACCCAAACAGAAAACAAGCAGTTGACATTAAACATAACATTAAAAGAATTATCTCCATATTTAGATACATACCCTACAATTTGAGTGAAATATCTTCTATAGCCATCAACTGTTTCATGCTTTAAATGAAAAATAAAAATCAATTTAAGCCAATGAATAACAGTAACATAAAAGTTCCAAGTCACTACAGTATTTATTAACAAATATTTATTGACGGTCTACTATATGCTGCATACATTTTTAAGGCATCAGGGTTACACTGGTAAACAAAAAGCCCTTACCCTCATGGAACTTGCCTTCAAAAGGAGACAGACAATCAACAAGTTAAAAAGTAAATGTAACTTCAAAACCCTCTTTTCAGTAAGCTAGCTCAAGCCACCATAATTTCTCACTTGGGCTATTACATCATTCTCCTACCTAGTTCCCCAGCTTTCAGGCTTGCTCCCCACAGTCTATTCTCCAGATAGCTGCCAGGATGATACTTTTCAAAGAGTAATCAGATCATTATATCTTCTGCTAAAAACCTTCCAATGACTTTATATCTGATTCATAATAAAACTCAAAATCCTTAAAAATGATCTACAATTGCATGTTAATCATTTTAACAAAAGGCTTACAAGAAAATATTTGACCATTTGAATTTCATTCTTAGAAGTTTATTACATGAAATATTTCATTATTTTAATTACATTCAAATGCTGTATTTTGCGTATATCATAAATGTGCTCAAAATTTTCAGACATTTGGGGTCTGAAATGTTTTTAGGTAAAAATACTTTAAAATACTATGATCAGAGAGAATGGAATCTACATGAGAGCAGATGTTTGATATTTCTTGATATTTGCTTTATAACAGAGTATATTAGTCACATTTTATAATGCAGCATGTGTGCTTCAAAAGAAGAGGCTTCTACCATTGTTGAAACAGGCTTCTATATGGTTCAATAGAACAAGTCTGTTAAGTATGTTGTTTATTCTTACTGATAGTTTATTTGGTGTGTAAGACACTGAGACATGCTTTAAAATCCACTATGGATTTCTTTCTTTTTTTTTTTACTATTTTTATTTATTTCTAGGAGAGAGAGAGACAGCGTGAGCAGGGGAGGGTCAGAGAGAGAGGGAGACACAGAATCTGAAACAGGCTCCAGGCTCTGAGCTGGCAGTCAGCACAGAGCCCAACACGGGGCTCGAACCCACGAACTGCGAGATCATGACCTTAGACGCTTAACCGACTAAGCCACTCAGGCACCCTTAAAATCCATTATGGATTTCTTATTTACCCTTTTAGTTTTGGCAATCTTGCATTAAATATTTTGAGTCAATGTTATCATGTGCTTATAGGTTTCAATTATCATTTTTTATCAACACTAAGATATGAATATTTTATTTTTTTATCATTCTAGTTTTTTTTAATATTATATGAGAGTATATACTCTGTTTCCACTCTTTTACTGGTTACTCCAGAAACTGTATTATGCATACTTAAATAATCAAACCCTAACCAATCAATATTTTTACTCTTCTGGACAATTCAGAAAACTGTAGTATAGTTTCATTTCAGTAACTCCTACCTCATGTTTATGCTTTTGTTGCTGTGTATTTTAATTCTATCTTGTTTTAAAGTCCATAATATTGTATTAACATTATTTTCTATGGTTGACATAGATTCATCCACATATTTATACTTTCTTTGCTATTCATTCCTTCTAGCATTTCATATCTTCCATTTGGCACCACTTTCTTTTTTGCCTGAAGTAGATTCTTTAGAATTTCTGTAATAAGGATGTCTAAGTAACAAACTCTCCTCTTCTTTGCTGAAAATGTCTATCTTTGCCTTTGTTTCACTGGATATAGAATCCTAGGTTAACAAGCATTTAAAATATGCCACTGTTTTTATTTCTCATGGGTAAAAACCTAGTAGCAAGACTGCTGGGTTGTAGGATAAGTGCATGCTTAACATTGTAACAAACTGCGAAACTATTTTCCAAAGTGGCAGCATAGTTTTTATACCCACCCGAACTGCACCAGCACTCCCTATGATCAATCTTTTTAATTTTAGCCAGTCTGGTAGGTATGTAGTGGTACCTCATTGTGGTTTTAATTTGCATTTCTCTGATGAAAAATGATATTGAACATCTTTTCATGTGCTTATTTCTCATTTGAATATCTAGTCAAATGTCTACTTGAATCTCTTATCCATTAGTTTGTCTTTAATTATTTATAATTATACAAATTCTTTATATTTTCTAAATATAAGCCCTTTGTTAGACATGAGTTTTACAGTATTTTCTCCCAAGCTCTGTCTTGTCTTTTCACCTTCTTGGCAATGCCTTTTGAAGAGTAGTTCTTCATTTTAATGTTCAATTTATCAATTTCTTTATCGTGTGGTTCATGTTTTATGTATCTCACCTAAGAAAATACTGCCTAACCCAAGGTCACAAAGATTTTAGCCTGTGTTTTTTTTCTAAAAGTTTTATAATTTTAGCTCTTGCATTTGGGTCCATGATCCATTTCTTGAATTGCTGATTAAGGGAAAAGTATTTTTTTTGCATACAAATAATTTAATTATCTTGAGTCAAAAGATTTCAAGTCTTATACTTGCTGAGATTTATTTTATAGCCCAGCATTTGGTCTACCTTGGTAAACCTTCTATGTGCATTTGAAAGGATTGTGTATTCTGCTATCTGGGGTGGAGTATTCAATAAATGTCAATTAAGTCAAGTTAATAGCTGATACTATTTTTCAGGTCTTCTATTTTCTCTTTATCTTTATGATCTGCAGTTTCATTATAAGGTCTCTCAGAGAGTATTTCTTTTTTTTTTTTTTTTTTTTTTTAATGCTTTATTTATTTCTAGGAGAGAGAGAGAGAGACAGCATGAGCAGGGGAGGGTCAGAGAGAGAGCGAGTCACAGATTGAAACAGGCTCCAGGCTCTGAGCCGGCAGTCAGCACAGAGCCCAACGCGGGGCTCGAACCCACGAACCGCGAGATCACGACCTAAGCGAAAGCCGGACGCCCAACCGACTAAGCCACCCAGGCGCCCCGAGAGTATTTCTTTTTATTTAACTAACTTGGGATTCCGTGGATGTGACTCTGTAAAAGTCTGTATTTCTTGTCCATACGGGAAACTTCCCAGCCATTATGCCCTCAAATCCTCTTCTGTCTCACTTGTTCTAGCTTCTCTTTTCTGAAATTCCAACTAGACATGTTAGACTTGTTCTCTGTATCCCCTCTGTCTCTCGTGTGTATTTTTATCCTCTTGTCTCTCTGTGAGGCTTTCTAGGTAATGTCTTCAAATCAACTAAGAGAATTCATCAACTGCTGAACCTATTCATAAAATTTTTAATTTTGGTTAATATATCTTCTATTTCTAGGTATTCTACTTGATTTTTCTTCATTTTGGTAAATCTTTACAGTTTCTTATTCCCTATTTGTATCAGCAAGCTTGACTTTTATTTCTTTAAACATATTCAATAGTTATTATATTAAATGGCTAATAATTTGGGGCACCTATCATCAATCTTTTTAATTTTAGCCAGTCTAGTGGGTATGTAGTGGTATCTTACTGTAGTTTTAATTTGCATTAAACTCACAATTACTCACGGTTCATGAGTTTGAGCCCTGTGTCAGGCTCTGCACTGACAGTGTGAAGCCTGTTTGGAATTCTCTCTCTCTCCCTCTCTCTCTCATAATAAATCAAAATAAATAAATAAAAATAAATGGCTAACAATTCAAACACTAAAAGTCTCTTAGGATTTATTTCTGTTTGCCTATGTTATATATACATATATGTATATGTATATATATACATACACACACATATATATAAAAATTTTTTTCAGAGAGTGTATGAGTGGGGGAGAAGGGCAGAGGAAGAGTCTTTACCAGGCTCCACACTCAGTGTAGAACCCAACATAGGTCTTGGCCCCACAGCTATGGGATCAGGACCTGGGCTGAAATCAAGAGTTGGGACACTCAACTGACTGAGCCACCCAGGACTCCCTCTGTTGCCAGTATCTTTAATGATTCTCACTTGTTTTATAAGTAGTTTTGACTGTAATTTGCTAACTTTCCTTGAAACTATGATATCAAAATTCAGAGATCTATATTTGCTTCTACTAGGCAATATCAGCATGGCAAGACTTCATATTAAATTTTCAACTGGAGATTTTTTTTCAATTATCCAAGTAGAATAAATTTGTGTTGCAAACACATGTGAGAATCCACTTGTTATGTATTCTCAGAGATTTTTCCCTTGATCCTTCAGCACCAACATATAAGATATGCAATTTCCTTACAGTGTTTGGCAGAAAGAGCAAAGAGATTTTGTTAGATTTTTAAAAATATTTAACACTGTGTCCATTTATTTTTTTTAAGTAATCTCTACTCCCAACGTGGGGCTCAAACCCATGACCCCAGATCAAGAGTCACATGCCCTACTGACTGAGCCAGCCAGGTGCCCCCAGATGTTTTTTTTTAAATCTCTAGGTCATCCTAATAATGAGACTCTAATTCTTTGGAGTCTCAGTTTCACAAGAGTGGCTCTTTGTATTCCCATGTCCTCAAAATTCACGCTTTCTCATTCAACAGATGCCTCTAAGATAAAAGCCACAATTAGTGCTTAATAGAACCTATCTGGATTTCTGTCTTTCATTTAGGTTTCCCTGTTTTGTTTGTTTTATAGTGGGATATACTGTATAAATTACATACAATAAAACTCACTTTTTCATGCACTGTTTTCACAAACACATCTAGTCATATAATTATCACCATAAGTGACATATAGAGCAATTCCATATTCACTTAGTTTTTCTCCTAACTATACTCTTCTACAAGATCCTTAGTGCATTTAAAAATAATTTTTAAAAATTTTAAATGTTTTATCCATTTAAAACTATTTAGTTGTTTTGTCAATAGAACAATATAAGTACATAGTCTACCATATTGTCAGAAACTATCACTCCCCAATACTTTATGTATCTTCTTGTTCCTTTATTTATTCACTATTTTACTATCTATCTCTAATAGAATGTAAGCTCATGAGAGAAGGGATTTACCTGTTTTGTTCACTGCTATACCCATCTAAACCAATTTTTGGAAATGGTAGATATTCAATAAATATTTGTTGTTGAATGAATAATGATACATGCTATCAAGAAATTAAGGCAGGGTAAAAGGGAAAAAGTGACAATATAACCAATCCAAAGTATTCACATACTTACCATATTTGACTGGGGTTGCAATACCAGTCTTGCTTGTTTCTTCCTTTGTTTTCGGTAATAATTTTCAAATGTTTCCTCGTCACCCTACAATAAAATCCACAGAGTAATGAAACACAAACATACTAAAAATAGGTAACTTCTGTACCACTAACAGTCATCTTAGGTTTCTAACAAATGGAATATAATAACTAAAGTGGTATTTCATACTAAATGTCAGGAATAAATTTTTGGCTTTATAGTTCAAAAACAGTAACATTGTTTGTTACCAGGACATTTAGGAAGACTAAATGTAAATTCAAACAATTTAACAGTTACCCAACTTATCACTAAGGTTTTACAGCTTTCCGACTGACCAATTCAAAATATGGCTGTCTGTGAGAAGACCTATATAAAGAAATTAGCTTACAAGCCTCAACTTCTGAAAATAATGTATAAGACCATATATGATCTGGCACCTTCTTCCATCTCCTATCTCATGTCAGTATAGTTAATATAGAATTTTCTTTTCACTTCCAGACTTTTGTACAAGCTATTCTTGAAATGTGCTTCCCAGTTCTTTCTCTGTATGACTTTTATTTATCCTTCAGGACTATCTATAGATGTCACTTCCTTTAGAAAGCCTTCCTTAATCAACTTCCTGAGGCTTGCTATTATCATGTTATCCCATAGTAATCAGTATATCCATATCATTGCACTTATTAATTATGCTATAATTTTTGAGGGGGGAGGGAATGTGAGCAAGTGGAGGAAGGGCAGAGGGAGGGAGACAGAGAATCTCAAGCAGGCTCCACACTCAGCATAAAGCCTGACGCAGTGCTCCATCCCATGACCATGAGATCATGACCTGAGTTTAAATCAAGAGACGAATGCTCAACTGACTGAGCCACCCAGGTACCACTGTGCCTTAACTTCTTAATTAGCAGTCTATGTGACCATTGTCTAACAGCACCTTCTGTGATGATGAACATCTTCTATATCTCCACTGTCTTATATGGTAGCCACTAGATAGATGTGACCACTGAGTACTTGCAAAGTGGCTAGTACTACTGAGACCCTGAATTTTAATTTTAATTAATTTAAATTTAAATAGCCACATATAGCTAGTAGTTACTATACTGGATAACAGAGATCTATCTTCACTACCTGACTCCAGCTTTTTAGAATATGATCCTATCCAACTAGCTTGCCATTGTATCCTTATCACTTGGCACAACATTTGGCACATGGAAGGCAATCAATTACTATTTGTTGAATGAATGAATGACTGAAATGACATATCCATTTCTTTTGTCTTCCTCTCTGCTTAAAAGTAAAATCCATCCAGAGTGAGAAGAAAGGGCTAGGAACCCACTCCCCCACTCAAGGCTCCAAAGAGAATCCAAAAGAAAAAAAAAATTAGCAATATGGAAAAAAAAGTAAAAACTCATTTTTTCACTGAAAAAATTTTTGATAGTTTTAATATTTAAATAGTTATCAAAAAATGACTTACAGCTTTTTTTTAATGTTTATTTATTTGTGAGAGACAGAGGGCAAGCAGGGGAGAGGCAGAGAGACACAAAATCCGAAGCAGGCTCCAGGCTCTGAGCTGTCAGCACAGAGCCTAATACGGTGCTTGAGCTCACAAACCACGAGATCATGACCTGAGCTGAAGTTGGACACTTACCCAACTGAGCCATCCAGGCACCCAAAAAAACTGACTTTTCTTAAGTAAGCTTTTAAAGAGTACTTTTAAAAAGTAAACTCACAATGCAAAAAATAAATTTACCTAGGTATCCCCTTGGGCAGCTCTCCCAGTATCTCTCAAACAATTAAGAGATTTTCAAAAACACTATGGTCCCCCTCACACTTTTATTTCAGAAACTAAATTTTTTTCACTATGAATTTAAATAGATATAAAGGATGCAATTTCAAGTATATTATAATTAAAACTATTAGATCCTCATTTAAACATATCCAACGGTTATCTATAATCATTTAAAAAATATATGAACATGCTCTTCCTTAACATTTAGAAATAAATTATAGTTTGCCTTTTTCATTTTTAACTCATATTTTCAGACTACCATCCTTACAGTTATTTTCTAATTTACTGTGTTTTTTTCTAATAGTGTGTATTTTTTTTTTTTAAGTAAACTCTACCCCCAATGTGGGGCTCAAACTCATGACCTTGAGATCAAGAGTCACATGCTCTACTGACTTAGACAGCCAGGTACCCCTCTAAAACTATATCTTCTAGTGTAATATATTTTTATTTTATTCCTGAGACCATAAAGATTTAGGTGTTAGGGTAGCTTTTTCCTTCTATGTTGAATTATCATTACAATTAGTACATAACTGATCAATACAATCTAAGTATATTAATAATTTTAGATAATTAATAAAACAAAAACTAAATTTTATTGGAAATGAGTTTCTTAACATGATAAATAGAGTTTTACTTTTTTTGCACCTAACAACATACTTTTTAGTTAAAAACTCTGAGCTACAGATTTAGTGTGTAATTTACTGATAAAATGCCTACACTAAAACCCAATTAGCAAGGACAATCCTCACAATCAAACTATTAAGTAAGGCAAGTGTATTCAGTATCTCGGAAAATTTTATGATTTGACTGAAATAAGTATGTTAGTATGCATTATGAAATATAATATTATAAAAACCACTGAGAAATAAATAATAAAATAATAAAACTAGTCAAGATTAAGAGTATTTAAATCCAATGATTGTTTTATCCATTCATGAACCTAAAAAAGCAAGGTATTACATAAATTTTCATTTCTTAAATGTTGTTTCTCATTACTAAATTTATAATAATGCAAGGTAATATATATATATATAGAATTTTAAGTTACTTACAAAAGGAGGAGTATGATAAAAAAATACAATATGCCTTCAGTAAATATATGGACAAACATAAAATTATGGTGTTCAATTTTGGAAATAAGGAAATAAAACCAAGTATAATAGTCAGGTATGACACATTAATTTTGTTAGACATAGTAGAAACTAATCAGTCTAGCAGTCAGTTTTTATTTTATTTTAATATGAAGTCAAAAATATCACACAATGTAACTAGACTTCAACTTATGACACAATTTGGCAAAATGGTTTTCAACAATTTTTCTGAATTACAACTTACATGAATATGAAAGAATGGGTCAGTCAATGTAACTTCAAAAGTCTGGCAGCCCCAGAAAATACTCCAGTTATATTTAAAAGATCCCACTTCACTAACTCATATTATTTTGGCTGTTTTTCTTTACAGCAAATGACACATCCTAGGGATGAATATTAAGATTAGCCAAAAGCAGTGTCTATATTTAAACACATACGACACAGTTCTGCATTCAAATTTTCCTATGTTCTTGTTTCTGTACTCTCATAGTACTCCCTCTTAAAGGCAATATATTCACTGTCAACAGCTGGGGAACAAAAACCATCAAGGCCTTAAGTGAAAACTGGTCATTACTCCCACCTATGTCATTAATACCTACCATGTATCAGAACTAAGAATATCCTGTGCGCCTGGGTGGCTCATCTGGTTGAGCGTTCACCCAGGTCATGATCTCTCTGCTCCTGGGTTTGAGCCCTCATGCTGACAGCTCAGAGCCTGGAGATTACTTGGGATTCTATGTCTCCCTCTCTCTATGCCTCTCCCCCAACTCGTACTCTGTCTCTCTCTCAAAAATAAACAAACACTGAAAAATTAAAAAAAAAAAAAAAAAAGAACTAAGAATATCCTACACCACAGGACAAAATATGTTTTATCTACCATGGTTTTCCTTTTCTGCACAAGAAAAGACAGACTTATGTGTACACACTCCCTTGATTAACCATGAAAGGAGACTTCTTTATTTGGCACACTGGCAATTTTTTACATGACAATGCACAAAGGTAGTATCAATAAAGGATCAATACAATGGGTATTAGTGAAGGACATGTCTTTCTTTTATAAAGTTAGTGTGGTAACCTCCAAGATGGCCTCCAAAGATCTCTTGTGTAGTCTCATCCAGCACTCCATCTGGTTGATCTAAGTCACCAGAAGGATACAGCAGAACTAAATGTATGTCACTTCTGATATTAGATTACAAAGGACATTATGTTTTTCCTCTCAGCCTCCCTTAGATCACTCACTCTGGGGAAGCCAGCTGTCGTGTCATGAGGACTGTCAGGCAGCCTGTAGACAGTCCATGTGGCAAGGAAGTGAGGCCTTCTGCCAACAGTCATAACAGAAGCAAATTCCCCAACTCCGTCAAGCTTTTAGAGGACTATAGTCCTCATTGACATCTTGACTAGAACTTCATGAGATCTTGAGCCAGAATGGCCCAGCTAAGCCATTCTCAGATAGCTAACCCTGTGAAGTAATAAATGTTTGTTAGGTGCAGCAATAGATAACTAATAAAATATCTTAGATAGTTTTTCTAGAAACAGACACCAAATGATACAGTAAGGAAGCATTCAAAAGGGAGACTGTTCAAGAAGTAAGGAAAACAAGAGAGGGCATGAGAGGAAGCCAATCAAGAATGCCAGATTCAGGAGTCTGGCTGGCTCAGTCAGTGGAGCATGTGACTCTTGATCTCAGGTTGTTGAGTGTGAGCCCATGCTGGGTGTAGATTATTTAAAAATGACAAAATCTTTAAAGATTTTTTTCAATGCTTATTTATTTGAGAGAGAGAGGGGGAGAGAGAGCATGAGTGTGGGAGGGAGAAGAGGGGAAAAGGCAGAAAGAGAGAGGGACAGAGGATCTAAAGTAGGCTTTGTGCTGACAGCAGAGAGCCCGATGTGGGGCTCAAACTCATAAACTGTGAGATCATGACCTGAGCCAAAGTCGGCCACTTAACCAAATGATCCACCCTGGCTTATTGAGATTAATAACAAAATCTTTAAAAAAAAAAAAAAAAGAGTGCCAGATTCAGGCAAGAAAGTCTTCAAGAGTAAAACTCCAAAGAATAAATTAAACTGCAGAGGGATATTTTTTTTCTTTTTTGGGTTTTGATTTTTCTTTTCTTTTTTTAAGAGAGCAACATGTTCTTTTTTTTTTTTTTTGAGTAATAAGATAGCTTTTTTTTTTTTTTTACAAATAG